CTCATCTTGAAAGCAGTGTTCTTTTTCTAAGGGGAAGCAGGTAAACAGTCCCCAACAGCATTCACCTGGATGCTTCACCCCTCCCTCCATTTTCTTTCCTCATCTCTGCCTCTCCAGGTTTTAGAGCAGTTGAGTAGAATCACTTCTGAGATTTTTCTAGTTTTGCTTTCTAAATTACAGTTTAAGTAACCAAGGTCTGTTATAGTAAGTTATGCCTCCTAGTTGTCAGACGCCAGGGAACAAATGTGGACCCACAGGATCCAGCCTTTGATCCGGGATTTACCAGCAGAACCCCTACTCCTTTATGAAGCACAAGCTCTTAAGAAACTAATGATAATAATAGGAGCTGACATTTATGAAGTGCTTACCCTGTGCTGGGTACTGTTCTGTGTACTTTATACAGACGCATTTAATTCTCACAACAAGCCTATTGTTTCTATTTTACGGAGAAGGAAACTGAAGCACAAAGAAGTCATATAACCTAGGTCCCGTAACATTTACTGGTCGAGCCAACACCTAGGAGGCTGACTTCAGAGGCCACATTCACAACCACCAGCCTCCTCACTTGTTGGGCTACACCTCGGTGGGTCGTGTCAATGATTAATTATAGGACACAGAATCAGCAGCAGCGAAACAAGCTCTACAGCTATTGTAGTTGTCCGGGGACAGAATGATGAGGGCCTCAGCTGGGATATGAAAGGGACAGGGCATTGTTGAGGACAGATTTAAGAGCCACCAAGGATATCAAAACCAACAACTTAATGCGAGGGGGAAGGGTAGATGTTTAGACTAGGAGATTGATGCCCCAGGTGAAGAGGGGACCTGCTGGGTGAAGCACTCCTAGGAGGCAACCGGAGGAGATGTCCATCCGGCAGGCAGGTGGATAAACTGGCCTGAAAGTTGGGAGAGAGGAATGGGCTGAAGATGTAGCCCAGAGAGACATGTGTTTATCTGGGAGTTCAGTGGCCAAGGACCAAATCCCTTCCACTGGAACAGGCTTCTTTCAAGGGGCTGGGCTTTGAACCAGCCCCTGAAGAACAGGAATGTTCTCAGAAGTGGGGTATGAGGAGAGGAGGAGTGGGGGGTGGGATGTCAGCGTGATGAGGCGTCTACCATGAGGAGGAAACCGGACATGAGGTGCCCAGGTGTGGACGTGGATAGGAGCAGGAAGATGATCAGGGAAAGCAACAGAAAACTTCGGAATAATTTTTGATGATGTTTTCCTCCTAAATCTGATAAAACATGGAAATCTTTATGAAATGTTCGAGACTGATGTTCGAAGTTCCTACTCTCTCCTTTACTCCTCCGAAGTATTCTTAAAACCAGTGTAACTGGAAGATGTATATATTAAACTGATTTTCATACCCTACTGTTACAATTCTGATAAAGACCTTCTTCTGGCTCCCTGGGCCACCAGGGGGCCTCTCGTGTTACCAGTAGGGACATTCAAAGGGGCGAGTGAGGCCAGGTGGTGAGAGGCTGGGTGGGCTGCCAGCCGGGAAAGCCAGTGGGAGCACTCTGCTGGGGCAGATCATGGACTCGGTGCCCTCTGTTCACATGGGCCCCTCTGGTTTGGGTTGGTGGGCATGTTCCATCCCGGCAATGTCACGGTCCGGGGCTGAGCCTGGGCCACCACAGCAGCGACATTTACCTCCTGCAAGGCTTATGACGCTACTCTTGCCTCATTTTGCCCTTCACAGGCATGGAGTGGAAAGCGGAGGAATAGGTGTAAGGGTTTGGGTTTGGGAGTAGGATATGGTTTCTCCTGAGCTTTACAGAGTTCCTGAAAGAAAGCTTAACGAGACTATTTTCTTTCCCCATTGTTAGAGTAAAATGTAATGACCATAAAACATTGGGAAAATGTAGAAGGAAGAGGTGTAAATACCCAGAGCCTGACAATTACTGTTAACATTGCGATATATTTTTGCCAATCTTTTCTCTACTACAATCTCTTTTCATTTGTTTTTGCACAGTTATGATCAAGTCAGATATACAATTATTTATCTTGCTTTTTTGATCTAATGTTATAAACATTTGTCCATTAAAACATAGATGTTGGGCTTCCCTGGTGGCGCAGTGGTTGGAAGTCCGCCTGCCGATGTAGGGGACACGGGTTCATGTCCCGGTCCGGGAAGATCCCACATGCCGCGGAACGGCTGGGCCCGTGGGCCATGGCTGCTGAGCCTGCGCGTCCAGAGCCTGTGCTCCGCAACGGGAGAGGCCACAGCGGTGAGAGGCCCGCGTACCGAAAAAAAAAAAAAAAAAAACATAGATGTTGATTTCGTGTATCAACTGAATCCCTTTTACCAGAAGTTTATGAGTAGATCAAGGGCCTTCTGGATTGTAGCTGGTGGAGAGGCAGCAGCTGGAGTGGAAGGCAGCAGGGTCATGAGACCCATACAGCCCACCTTGACCTTTCAGGAACAGTGAGTGCCGTGGGCAGGGTGGGCTCATGCTGGTCCTGAGGGAATCCAGCCATTTCCCCAGCTAGCCTGCTTTTGAGAGCACCAGCCCAACCCAAGGGTGACTAGAAGATTCGAAAGCCCCCAGCTGCCCGGAGGTTCCTACAGGCCCTAGTAGTGACCTTATTTAGCAGGAAGATGCCTGGACCCTCCCACAGCCATGAGCTGCTTCACCTCTTCCTACATAGACGGGGGAATGGAGTGAGCTGCCATTGTCAGGGGTGATGGCCTCCCAAGTGACCTGAGCAAATAGTGACCCTGCAGCCGTCTTTGTGGCTGCCACATGGCAAGTAATCATATGGTGGAATTATAAGTAGCTCCCTGGCTCCATGGTCAGGATTTTTTTTAGCACATAAGTTAGCTTGTTAATTTGTTAGTTAGTTATGGGGAAGATTTATGTGACCCAAGGTTGAAAATAGGATCCGGGAAAGTGCATTTTTTGCAGAGCTTTTTACTGCCCGGCCTGGGTGTTGACGGCTCAGTGTCACCAAGACATGAACAAGCAGCTTGTTTACTTGCAGAGAAATGTGCTCTCAGCCAGGGAAGAGACAGTTTTTTCTTCCTCTGACTAAATGATCTGAGTGAGGCATAAAAAACTAAAATACCCAAAGTAACAACAAAACAACAATCATTTATATTAAATATGAGTTTATGGCAGTGCTTTTCTCTCCGTTTGGCATGTTCCCTCCTTCTTAATCTGACCTGAGTTGTTTCAGAATTGTCTTCAGTGTGGTGCATGGGGAAAGCATGCGCTCTGGAAACTGACCCACTTGGGTTTGAATCTGGGCACGTGCAGTTACTAGCTGTGTATTCTCAGCAGTTAGATGGAAGCAATCACACCTGTCTCCTTGGGTAGCTGTGAGGATGACATGAGATGAGGATTGTAAAGTACTAGAACCCAGAGGGCTGGCCCCAGGAAACAGTGGTCACTGTCGCTGCCACCACTGCTGTGTGGGAGGCCTCGGTGCCTAGTGGTCCCCATGGTCTGGTCTGGCCGGACGAGTGGGGCCTGAAATGAGAAGACGGGTGCCCTGTGACATGAACCTAAGGATTCATAAGGAAGAAGAAACAGCCAGCTTTTCCAGAGATTTATGGTTCTAAAGATCATCTTTAATTAATGAAGGTTTTTTGTTTGTTTGTTTGTTTGTTTTTTGCCTGTGCTAGGCAGCTTGCGGCATCTTAGTTCCCTGACCAGGGATCGAACCCGGGCCCCGGCGGTGAAAGTGCGCCAAGTCTTAACCACTGGACCGCCAGGGAATTCCCAGCGATTATCTTAAATTCGCACTTCCTGGGCCATTTGCCTAAACCCAGGCTAAAGACCACCCAGGCCTGTGGAGCTGCTGGCAAAACAGCCTTTCAGTCCTTTTTCAGAATTTCTGAATGCATTTGGTTTTGCTGCTGGCAGAAGGGTACCTGCAGACTTTTCAGCAAAGGTTTTGTGATCTCTTGAGAGGGCAGGTGCTATACAAATCCCTCAAGTGTACAAAGAGGAATCGTGCCAGAATTGCTTTGTGGGAGAGACGGACTCCAACAGTTATCATGCGAACTTAATAATTTCCTACAGTGGTGATCTTCCCAGCAACCCCAAGCATGGTCCCTGTGCCCGTAGCCTGTACCCAGGCGTGGTATGTGGTGGGACTGCTGCTGACCCACCCAGACGTGGTATGTGGTGGGACTGCATTCCCAGGACTAAATGCTCCTGCACCTCCAAATTGTCAGCCTCCTCCCCTGAGGTGTGTTTCTCATCTGTACTAACTTTTGTCTTTTGTTTCTGACTTGTGGCGACTTGTCTTGAGCCCTGGATAACAGAAAGGATCCATCCCTCCCTCCGGAGCCTCAGTCCAGAACAGGCCAGGGAGTGAGTCGGTGGCACAGTACTACCCGGGGTCTCGTGAAGATAGGCTTTGCCCTGGCCAGCCCTGATGTTCTGTCCCACCTCTCCTGCTGTTTCTGTTTTAAGTGTGATGGAAGCCTCCACCCCTGAGCTCTGTGGGTCCAGGCTCCTACCAACTGCTTGACAAATGGCAGAGTTTAAGAAGAGAGCTGCTTTGCGCCTTCACACATCTTCTTTCTTAACCCATGAAGGTAGTTGTTTCCGTGGTGAGCAGGGAGTGTCCAAGAACCCAGTTTCAGTGTGACTCTTCCTTGGTACCCTTCACAGAGAAATGCTTCTCAGCGAGGGACAAGTCTGATTTGTGCCTGCAAGGATCTATGTTTTGAAGTAGCACTTGTGCAGGGTTGGAAGACTTTATCTGCTGGTCTCAGGAAGGCAGATGGCCCCGGGGATGGGTCAGCTAATGAGCAAGCAGCCCCCACTGGGCCGAGATCAGGGGAATTCTGTCCAGCCAGCAGGACTGGACTCCATCGACTGTCTGGCCCTCTAGGAGTCACGTAACAGTCTTTTAGAGGAACTTCCTGGCTCCCCTGGTCTTCTGGTCCTGAGTTGGTCTCCACATGTCAGGGCTCTGGGGCGGCTGCACGTTCGAGTTTTCCCGTAGTATTACAGTTGGCCACGCTGTGCTTTGTTTCTCTTCCCAGCATCCCAGTGCAACGTCAGCCTGAAGAAGCAGAGGAGCCGCAGCATCCTCAGCTCCTTCTTCTGCTGCTTCCGTGATTACAATGTGGAGGCTCCGCCAGGCAGCAGCCCCGGTGTTCTTCCGCCGCTGGTGGAGGAGAACGGCGGGCTTCAGAAGGTCAGTGCCGCCGCGGCAGCCCCGGTGTTCTTCCGCCGCCGCGCGCCTGCCCCGTCCTTGACGAGCATCCTTAGTCAGAATCGGTGACCGTATGTGCGCAGCCATTTACGTAAAGATTTGAAATTACCAAAAAAGTCGCCTTTTTCGTTACAAGATATGTCAGTCATTCCCGTTTAGCAACTGAAGATCACATTTGATGCGAGTTATAAGAGTCACTTCACATTTTTGTAACATTCTGTCGTGGGAAGTTGTATGAAAGAGAGTTAAAGAACCAGGAGCAGACAAAGAAATGGAAAGACCAGAGGAGACACAGAGACTTGGAAAAAAGCCAATAATAAATATAAGTGAATTTAACTACCTCGTTTAATAATAAACGTATTTGTTATATATTCTTTCATATGTGTCAAATAAAATATTTTAAGTCAGATCATCACAATAGGTTAAAAAAGAACAAATTCTACCCACATGCTGTCTAACAGACGCATCATATTCAAAACAAAATGACTCAGAACAGTTAAAAGTAGGAGAATGAGCAAAAAGACATCACACAAGTATAAACAAAAAGAAAGGGCTTCCCTGGTGGCGCAGTGGTTGAGAGTCCGCCTGCCGATGCAGGGACACGGG